CTGGGTCCGAAGCAAGCACTTCTCTCGTGTCAGCAGGCACAGCAATTTCCTGCCTTTTTGGACACAGACCTACTTCTACAGGGTCCACAATACCATGGAGAGCATAGCCATAGAGAACCAACCTCTTCTTTGGCCTGCGTTTCAGAAGCCTGTGACGGGAACCAAACCTCTCCATCCGAGGCTGGAACGCTGACATATGCTTGATGTAGGAGGACGTCTGAACTGATTGTTAAATATTTGAACAGCAAGGAAAACAGGAAGCAATGGAAAACAAAAGCCCTCTCCAGATTTGAGTCACAGGACCATCTACTCTGGCAGACCATGTCCACCACAGCCAAAGGTGAGTGTGGTTGGGTTGTACATGTTATCTGGTCTGGAGAAAAAGCTGTCTGTCTGAGGATACTGTGTGCCAGCCACTTTAACCAGTAAGATAAGAGGATGACCATCAAAGAGGCTCAAACTTCAGCTTCAGCCCAGGAGAGCCCTCAACAGGCTGCTCTGGCCAGAGCAGTGCTCAGAGTCCAGCAGGTACATCTACAGAAGGACTGAGCTGTTAATTCTTACTGGTGACTTTCTATTTTTAAAAGTCTTTTTTTCTGGTATAATTTGAATAATAAATTTCCCATAATTCCACAATGTAGCATAACCACTGATAGAATTTTGGGTGCATTTTCCCTATGTATATGGAGTTTACATAGATATATAATCACAATGTTCATAAAGTATTAAATCCTGCTTTTTTACTTCCCATTATAATATCTATGCATATGGATATGTAATTCTTTTTCAAGTTGATATATAGTTTTTTCTCTGTTTTAACAGCAACATGATAGTCCCTCAAGCCCACATACTATGATTTACTGAAATATTTTTCTACAGTTGGGTATTTGAGATGTTTCCATTTTTTCCCTCTAAATGCTATGATAAAGGTTTTGTACCTCTGATTTTTGGCTCCATATTTCAGCTTATTTTCTTAGACTAGATTTTTTTTTTAAAGAATAGATTCTTAAGAAGTGACATTATTGAATTAGAAGGTATGATCATCTTTCTGATTTGAAATATATGCCTAATTTCTTTCTCAAAGAATTGTATCTAACCGCATGAGGAAAAAAAAAAAAAACCTGTTGCTGTCAAGTCTGACTCATAGTGATCCTATAGGACAGAGTAGAACTGCCCCATAGGGTTTCCAGGGAGTGGCTTGTGGATTTGAACTGCTGACCTT